GGAACTCGCAGATGAACACCGAAAACCATCAAGAGGCAAGTCAAGAAATCCCCCCAAGATCTCACTTCTTCAGTGGATGTGGCCATAAAAAGTGCAAACTTTTCGTTCACCACAAAAATGGTCCAAACCCCAAAAGTGACCAAAGTAGAGGAACTCGGGGAGTGAGAGATTGAGACCCACAGGATCTCGCCTCTTCGTCCATGGCTCGCTGGAAGACCTCGTAGTCCTGGCTATGATTTGACTCGCCCAGATTCTACCCCAGGCAACCCCCAAGCGGTCGGTTGCAAAGAAACAGCCACCGTGGTTGAGTTTGACCAACCAAAGAAACAGTCAAGATACTTACCACGGGTTCTCTGGGTTCTCTGTTTGACCAACCCGAGATCCCCAGTTTGACCAATCCCGGTTTGATCTCGGGTTCTCTGTTCCAAACAGCTACGACTCTTTCCACAACGTGGATGAAAGCTTTGATCCCCGGCTGTGCGTCAAAACAAGAAACCACGATGGTCGGCCTGAGGCTGGACAGCCAAAGCTCCGCCTTATTGGGGGCTCCCTGAAAAAGATACGTATATCGAAAGACACAAATGGGTATGCGTGAAATTGGCGTGGGAGGGGTGGGGCCGACGTTGCACTTCAACCAGCTACATTGTGATGTACAAGTATGAGTCGGGGTTCTCTCTTGTCGATGGCTCTGTTTCGATGTTGTTGCGGGTTAAGTCCAAATTTGCCATGTCTTTATGTTTGTCCCAAATATAGGAGAATGTCCCAACACATTATGGATTTGAACTTACAAGATCACAAGAGTCGGGAACAAAATCAGTTGCTAGCACATGGGTGTCTTGAGTGGGTCGGCATATTTGAGACAAGCTCAAAATCCCGATGCCTTCTTGGACTCTGGATCCCGTCCTTCACAGCCGACTCCGCCGACTCCGCCTGCGAGTTTCCTAGAGTTTCCTTGCCCAGTGCTTTGCGCATCAAAGATCTCCCAACCACATACGCTCAGACTTGGGATTTAGCCTTGAGGGGGTATCCAGGAGTCTGGTGAAAACCTTGGAAGAGGACTTATCCCCTGGTGGATACCTTGCCAGACAAATGGAGGTGGGCTCCTGAACGAAAAGATTCCTCTATAACAGTTCCTTGAGTTTCGAGTCTGAATCCACAAGAGAGTGCGAGGAAAATATGGTGGAACCCGGACGCAACATCTGAACACTTCACACACTTGGATGGCCATAGTCCACTTGGCACGTCTTGCCCAAAACAAACCACCCCAGAGGGTTCCTTGGTACCTCCTCAGGATGGCTTTTGGGGGGCCAAAAGGTGTCTAAGTACCTCCTTAGAAGGTACTTGGACCCTCTGGGCACCCCAAAAAAGGGCAGCACCAGCCCTGCACCTCTAGCCTTGACCAAACACAAACGCCTCCGATGTCGTGCGGTTTTCGCCAGCCCCGCCTGCGACAGCCTGGCGTGGGCATTGCGGCGGCACGTTGCAAGTGTTTCTCCACAGTCGAGCCTGCGCCACTGGATGTGTTAAAGCAACAGTCTCAAAATGATACTCTAAAAATGTGGGTTTAAAAGGAATCATGTTTTTAGTAGTTGTGACAACCCTCAAAATGTTGGCTTTAAGGGACTCGGCACTAGCACCAGTGGTTTTGCGGGAAGGATTCTCTTAACATTTAAGTTGGAACTTTGCAGAAACCGTTTTGTGTTTTTGTCCCGTTTTCTCGCTTTAACCCGGTTTTCCCGACGCATCTGAGGCTGCCTCAGAATAGATGTCAACTTCGGAAGGTACTGGGCCTTCCCCGCTGGTTCAGCGATGCTTGCTCCTCCTGCTCAGCGACTCTTGAAGGAAAAGGACACCCATTTTGGGATTAGCATTTTTTGGGGCAGAACTCACCAAACGAAAAGAGTCCCACTGCAAAACTGGGCCCTACTAGCAGCTCCTGCAAGAGGGGAAATCAAGGTTTAGTTGGCTCCGCTTTTGGTTGGTTGGTCGGGAGAAAGAGATAAGGCGCGTCCATCTAAATCCCAACACTGAACATCACAGTACTCCCCACACACGCGCGTTGTACCATTTGAGTTGGAAAGCCCTTTGAATAGCAATGAGTCCATTTTCCCGAAGAGGTTTAGGTTTCATTTACGCTCATCGTTGTGAGTATCTCTCAGATCAACCTTGGCACTTGGGTGAGTCGCTGCTTGTGAACCTTTTTCGCGGAGTCAAAGAGAAATCGTCAAGGACATGGCTGTGGTGGTCAAAACCGATTTGGATCCCATTTTGGGGGATTGGTGAATTCACCACCCATTTTAGTCGACATTTTAGTGGTTGGATTGAATCGGATGTTCACTGGGGGCTAACCGGGCTTTGGATTTTGACCCATGGCCACATCGGACCTTTGGTCTGCCTCCCATTGGACCGTGGACGCTCCCCATGGACCCGCACCGAAGGTCTGCGCCTACCAACCTATCGGGAGTGACCATGGGGGAATGGTGCAGGTGCCTGAAAGATAAACACTTCCTCTCGAAGCGGCTATTTCTCTGTCATGGGAGGAGGATAACCCAAGGGCCGTAGCTCATCTTTCAGGCATGTGGCCATGGGTCAAAATCCCAGTTAGCCCCCAGTGAACATCAACCAATCCCCGATAAAATCCCGACTAAAATGGGTGGTGCGACTACCCCAAAATGGTACCATTGGTTTTGACCCACAGCCATAAAGTTACATTGGCGGCAACTGAGTCCAAATGTGTGGCAGCCGAGGCTTCAGGCAAGAACAGATTGCGAAGATATGATATCTGTTTTGCCGACCTCACCAAATTTGGAGGACCGCGCCTGAAGCGATTCCAGCCGCTGCCAGGCACCGCCAGCGAGGTCTCCTGTCGGGAGGCCACAGGTCGACAAACACAAACTCATCCCCTGATGTCTTGCTGATCCTGGGAAAAGGCACACACAGCGAGCAAGAGCAAGCCAAAAACAAAGTACCAAGTCCAACAAAAACACGCGGGTTCCCTAGATGCGGTTCCGTGGCTTTCAGCTTTTCGCCGAAAACAACAGGTGCTTGTTCAGCAAGGCCAAAAAATATGTTTTATCCAAAACGATCCCAGGCTTGATATAAGACACCCAACCGCTAACAATCAACGGGATCGGGCCCAAGCGGGCCCTTTACTTTACATATATGAAGGATCCATACAACTTGTCTTGGAAAAGATCCCGCACTGCTCCCGCACTAAGAAATCATCTGCAGGAAAACATCCGAATACGTGCGCAACAAATCCTCTGGGTGGGTGGGTGTTTAGCTTGTAGATCTTCATCCAGGAAATCTGGACTTGGATGTTCAACCTACTTTGTAAGCACGCGGAGTGAGCGAAACCCCGCAAACAAACAGAAACTAGCCACCATGGGGACAGGATCTGGGAAACATCAAGACGGCTTTCGTCATAGTTGGTGCTTCTTACCATGTCCAAGCCAAGGGATGTGCAAATGGAAAGCCATTGAAAACCGGGCCTGTGCCCTCACACCCAGATGTGCTTGCTTGTCTCCACACACGGCCCAAAGCTCATTTCTTGTCCCTAACCAGAGTTCAACCAGTTTTATTGGTATGTCTCACGACAGGGAAACCGACACTTGTGCTTTTTTCTTTAAATCGCACCAAACCCTTCGTCCCCTCCAAAAATGGCACACCCATGCTCGCCCCTCTCCTCTGGACTCAGCTGGCCGGCCCGGCGCGACACCTGTCAGCTGTCCGGAGCACTCAAAGCCCCGCGCGCCCGGCGGAAGCCCCCAAGCCGCTGCAATTCAGAGAACCTTACAGGGGGTTCCTTGCAAAGGATGAAAAGTGCGCTATCAGGTTCCATGTGAATTTCTGTGTACCCCCCCTCCACACCAACAACAAGCAAACACAAAACCCAACAAGCCGTTCGCAGAAAACAAGATTCCTCTGGTGGATTTCCGTGCTCCATGTCAAGTAGGAGGGTAGCTCCCTTCCAACAATAGAAGTGGACTCTTGGCCCGTACAAACTGGGGCACCCCAAAATGGTGCCTTTCCATCCAACCAATCAAAAAAGGGTACCTTGAAAACTGACCCACACATACATGGCATCTTCATCTGCATAGTGTTGCTCTTCTCTTTTCTGGTCTGTTCATCACAGTAGCTTCAAGCTGCCCTGAAAGCAGGCGCTGTGAGTGGAAGCAGCGGAGTTGGGCCATCTCGAATGTCCAAAGCGATGCCGTTTAGCATGTTGTGCTTTCTTTCAAATGGGTCTATCGCTGGCTGGGTCATTTCAACGAACTATGCCACAACCCCTCGCCCTGTGACAAAGCTTCGCCGCAGACGTCTGGAAATGGCGGAGTGACCGCGTGGATGTGAGAATCTCCCTGAACAAGCTCAAAATCAAAGGGAAGTAGTGCGCTGGATACATGCACACAATGGTTGATGTACCCCTGCCCAATCGGAGTACTTTACAGCGCTGAGCGCTTTTCTTTGTGCTCTTCGTGACACAAATGTGACTTGGCCTACATCTGCAGTAAACTGAACAGTATGTTCTGATGCTGCTCTGACTACATTGCGTCTGCCCTACAGTATACATCAGAATACAACATGTTTGGAGGGCGAGAAAAGGGTTTGAAACGAATGAAACGGAACTCTTTGGTGAGTTGACAATGTTTGCTGGGCAGCAAAAAGGAATCGAGCAGAATCCACTGAACAACTACCGTGCAACACCTACCATGTCCCAAGCCAGCCGAGTCCCCTTTTTTTGTTCACCCCACTGAACAACTAGAACATAACTCCTTCTCAGAGTTCCTGCAATGGAAATCGCCCTTGGCTCCCTTTTCGCGGATCTAAGGATATTTTTGGGTAGCGCATTGAACTAGGTTCTCCAGTAGAGAGGATAGAATAAGGGTACCCTTTTGTCTGTAGTTTATTTTGGTAGGGGAACCCTCCCGCAAAAAAGAAACGGTAAAAGGGCACTACTGAAAAAACCTAGTAAAGGTAAATTCCATTAATCCGGGAGGTCACTCCACAAAGGTCTGCTCGAGTGCTTTAAGCAATCCCGGCAGGTCGTCCACATGGACATTGTGCCCCGCGTCCAGCGTCACCTGGCAAAGACCCAGAGTTCTCCGCGCCGCGTTTGTCTGGCCTTGTGGGGACCCATTCGTTTGTCCAAGCCAATCTGTGTTGCAACCTCCAGTTTACCTTTTGCCCAGAGGGTCCAAGTACCTTCTAAGGAGGTCCTTAGACACCTGTTTGCCTCCCAAAAGCCATCCTGAGGAGGTACTTGGACCCTCTGGGTTGGTTTATGGGCCCAAAAAGCATGAACATGTGTAGAAGCCTGACCACAATAATCAGAATATAATTAATTGTCCGGTACAGTAGGTAGGGGGGTTGCAGGTTGGACTTATGTGATCAATACTACCCTTGTATGGTAGTAAGTATACGCCCCATGATACGTGGTAAATTAATTCCAACACTCCTACAGAACAAAGGCCCCTGACCGTAACTCCGAACTGGACGTAAGCATTCATTGCATGCGCTGTATCTGTCTGTCTATCAATCTCTCTCTCTCTCTCTACATAGTCAATCAACCTATCTAGCTTCCTTCCTATCTTTCCAATCGATCAATCTATCTACCTACTAGCTCTCCTATCCATCTATCCAGCTATCTAGCTCCTGCGAGTCGTGCTCCAAAGTGCTGCGCCTACAACGAAATGAAACGCACGACTCTACAATTATTGCATCTCACAGGCGGTTGTTTTGAGGTGAGGGGCGTGCAAGCGTGTGTGCGAGTCTCATCTTCCTTTGCCCTGTCGTGCAATCGGCTTGTTTGGGCGAGCTGAAAGCTTGTCAAAATCGGTCGAACACATTCTGGCGTCTTGCGAAATGTTGCGGGCGCTTGCGGACCGGACGCAGCAACGCATCTCGCGAACATATGCTGACCCCTACCTTCTGTAACGGGAGCCCTTCTACTACTTCGAAAACCTGTTCGATGCTTCTTGGGTTTAGTGGAACAACAACTGCTCGGGTTCAACAACTACCATATCCCAACCGATACCCTTCCTCCACCTAACATACTTGTGGAAGGGTACCTTTTTGATGCCTTGAAAACTGAGCCAGGTGGGTTCAGCTTTTGCACGCCCGACTCTCGGACTCTCAGACACGCCTGTGTGACCTCTGCCCGCTGCAGACGCTCCAGATTCTCATCACCCCAGGCGTGCTTGTTGCGGCCGGCCACTACCACGCCGATATCCACATCTCCTCTGAGTGGCTCTGGGAATGGACCCAGGAATCCCCTTAAAGGAAACCAGTATAGGGGTCATTCCCTGTCCCTACTGAGCACCAGCAAGATGGGTATGATGTTTGATGAGGGACTCTTTGGCGGACATACTTTACACAAAGATCCATGATTCTGTTGGTTTATCGTGACAAAAGTGTTACAAGACGTGGGTTCAACGTTTTGCAACACCCGAAGGAAAGACTTGGAGTTTTCGCAAGAGGATGGGTAGCTTGTATGCCTGTTTGTGTGTTTGCGTGCAAGTGTGTGTGTGTGTGTGCGGGGGGGGCGGCTGGACACTATATTAGTCTGACATCAGCCAGCTCCCCTCAACAAGATGTAGCAACCGCATAGACCCTCCTAAGGCCAGTTTGCGCACGGCTCTCCTTGCTCCAGGACGTGCCACTTGCAAGTGCTTGCGTAGGCGTCATAGAGCTCACGGATGACCTCTGCAAGTGTCGAAAAGGACTGAAGCTGGCCTTTCTCGAATCATTGCAGTGAGCTTGCAAAGTTATTCGACCGAGCGCGGAATTGTATCCTTTTGGGCGAGTTCGATTTTTGGAGCTTGTTTCAAAATCCCCCCTCCCCCATTCCCCCCGTCCCCCTGTCCCCACTCCCCCCCTTTCGCCGGTTGCGCCGTCAAACGCGGGGCGCCTCCATGTCGAAGCTCAGGCGCACCCCGTCGCCCGCCGTGCGCACGGACTGGGCGGCCCATTGGGCCAAAGCCAGCGACAGGCCCTCGGCCTGCAGCGCCTCCGTGAGGGCCTGGGACCGGCCATCCGTTGAAAAGACGAGGCGCCAAAAAGGCTTCCTGGGTGACTCGTTGTAAATGATATCACTAGGTGCTCCAGTAGAGAGGTTAGAACAAGGGTACCCTTTTGTCTGTAGTCTATTTTAATAGAAGAGGGTAAAAGGGCACCATTGGGGGACCTAGATCATATATATATATATATATGTATAACACACAATATATAAATATATAAGCTTACCTGTCCAGAGATATCAACCTATGGTCAATCTCCTGCTGGTTTACAAAAAAGGGAATTAGATCTTACAGGTGAACATGCCAAGTCTCAGTTCCTTCAGGGGTCTTCCAAGTCCAGGCTGCGCCAGCCTGCGCCACTCCGTCAACTCGGGGCCCAAGAAGGGGCCCGAGCGCTGGCGCCCAAACATGGGGTGATGCAATCCTATTGGTGTCCCTTGAAGCCAACCCGAACAGGGTACCAACTCCGAGAAAAAACAAAAAAACACGCACACATCAAAGGAACCATATTTTGGTCACACATGAGGGGTAATACAGCCAGTAAACCCATTCAGCAGGTCAAAACTTGCGGGTTCTCAGCATATGGCTTCCTTCAATCCCCAAAACCGGTTCACTCCCGAAACCTGGAAGGGTGAAATTCCCCACCTATCGCCTGCATCCAGAAACGCCCCTCTTTCACCATTGGAGCCACTGGGTGTGTTCTTTTTAGGGAATACCTGTAAAACTTCGCGTTGGAAATTCGCAACACCCCCCAAGACAAGTCGATTTTTCCGGCAGAAACCCCAAGATCTTGGACAGGCGCCTCCCCAAACCCGTACCGAGTCCCCGGCCGCGCGGTCCGGGAAGGCCGCAGGGCCCACAGCCTCCAGCACCTCGACGAGAGCTCAGATGCCCCGTGGAGTTCTAGGGGAAAAAAATTGGGCACCACTGGTGGATTGGATGGTTGAGCTCAACCAGGGAACATGTCCAACCATTTTTGGCTGGTTGAGTTTAAAAGGGAACCCTTAGCCAAGAGAAAGAGGAAAGGGCACCATTGAGCAACGGAGTGAGGGTTCCAAGGATCCACAAACGAGACGCTAAATGTTAGGCACGTCTCCTATATTCCTTTGAAAAAATACCTCTACATGCCCCTTAATATTTCAAAGGAGCAAACATACCATCCTGTTTCTATCATGCCCATACAAGGACACTCCCGCAATTGATCGTCATTTACAAGACTTGGTGGTCGGTTGTGCACATAAAGCTGTGGACCATGGGTGGATTAAACTGGGGCAATTCTTTGGGTCACCTGGTTAAAGTGGAGGACATCATCTTTTGACCATGACTTGCTTTGGTGTCCAGGTAATCATTTCGGCCCAACCTCTGTGACACCATGGTGGATTCCCGCTGCAACGGGGATTACCTTGTTACAGAAATTAGCCAAACCAAAAAAACACATGGCCCAAGATATCCAAGCCCAGGTGTCCTTGGTAGCTGCCAAAGGAAAATGGTCGAAAAAGAAGAACCATGCAGAACCTGTCTTATTTGAGCCTGCCGTTTTGGGGATTGTGTTAAAAACAAAGCCTGTGTGTTTTGCAGCGGCCCCCATTTTGAGACAAACCCAAATGTTCATCCTCTTAGATTTCTCCGTGAAACGTCACCTCGCTGGACAAATCACAAAACAAAATCGCAACTCGACGGTAACCTATTTGCCCTGGCCCTTTGTCCTCGAATGGCAACCTTTAAAATCAACAGGGGGGAAACGAAAGGAATAACACTTGAGGCAACCATTGGGTGTAAAACTTTCTTCTGGACTCCCGCTGGATGCCGTTTTCAGGCAAATCGAAAAGAAGCCCCCCGCAAGAAAAAAGAACAGCTGCGAGTGAACTTAACGCATCCAGCTTTCAGGGGCTATCAAACCAAAACGCCTAACCACTTTTCGGTTGGTCGCACGAGTTGGCGGACCACCTCGAGCACGCACTCCGAGTTTTGAGCACCAAGTCGGGCCCAAACGCGTGAATTGTTTTGGGGAGGAACTGGTTGGTATTGAAAGGAAACCAAAAGGCTAACATTTTTTGGAGGTTCCTCAATTTTGAGACAAACCCAGTGTCTTTTTGAGGGTACAAAATTCAGGATGAATCGGCATGTCCCGTTTGGGGAGGCTCTTGCCAATATATACCAAACAGATTTGGTTGGTCCCCAATGTTCATAGAAACACGGCGATCTGATCAAATTATTCAGAATATCTCCAAACTCCACAACAGGATTTTCCAGCGTTTCCAAAGCCCAGTTGCTTTCTGGTTCGAGCTTGCCGCGCTTCCCATGTTTCCAACAAAAACTCATGTTTGCTCCTAAGGTTCTCCCCCCCCCCCCCAAACTTGCTTCCCTCCTTTTTTTTCCCCGACAACCCACAGCTCCGAACACGCGCCCAGCGCGCCCCAGCGCCAGCGGATGCGACGCCTGCAGCACGAAGCTGACGCTCTGCTCCCTCCTCTGCCGCTCCGCGCTGAGCTTCGCAGGCGTCCCGGGCACCGAGTCCAGCGTCCAGGTCATGCGCCTTCGAGGCACGCGCTAGGGAGCGCGCGCGAGAACGAGGCCGCCCAACAACCCGGAAAAAAGGCGACAAGGTGTGCTCGTCTTCCCGTTATATAACAGGGGTAAGGTTGACCCCAGATTCAGAATCCCAACCTTCTTTTGGGGGATATGTTCCCCCGGTTTTAGTGTCCCTGATTCAAACTGTTGGAAGTGGACCCGGACTCCTGCGGTAAGCCCAAGGCACGGAGGCGTGCCCTGGTCTCGCAGCGCCTCCGTAAGGCTCAGAGCCACCTGAAATGAGACGTGCCGATGCCTCAAGCAAATCGTGTCCTAGGGCAAATAGATTCGGGCTTCCCTGGAGGAGCAAAAACCATCAGGTAAAAACCAGAGATCGAAACCCATCCCCATCTATTTTTCGAGCAAAACAACAAAAGGACACCTACCTCAAATCTCTGGAAATGGAACCCCTGGAATCCAGCCCTGTAACCCAAGGATCCAACAATCCCTGTTGGTTGGTTGCTTGGGTGGTTGGGTGGTTGGTTGGTTGGTTGGTTGGTTGGTTGGTTGGTTGGTTGGTTGGTTGGGTGGCTGGCGGGTTGGTTGGAATCTCCGGACATGGGAGCAAATCCTACCCCCACCTACAGATGCAGGAAGAACCCCTCAGGTATGGGAATATTTGTGCGGAACCAAAGCATCCAAACTTCACGTTGCTTCGCCCCAACAACTTTCTGGTAGATTGGGACGTTAGCCCTCGAGTGGGGGCAAAGGGCAGGTTTTGACCCCTGCAAAAGGGCAGCCCCCCTTCCGGAAAAAGAAAGCCACCCTCCAAAACAGCATGAACATGTCTCTGTCAAAGCAACGCCCCCCTCCCCAAAACCGCATACAAAAAAAATACAGCTGTAGCTTTTGCCTGGACCTCTTTCTTTTTGCGGTCTTTTCCGCCCGGCGTTGTCGAGCCCCCGCCCCCGCCTTGCCACCAAAGGAATGTCCGCAAATCACCAGCTCGTCTCTGGCGGTGTCGATGCCTCAGGCTCCCAGTGAGACCCCGAATTTCCACCATTTCTGCCACTGGATTGCAAACCGAGAAGGTCCCTTGGTACCTTCTAAGGAGGTGTTTAATTAGACCGTTTTTTACCCCCCAAAAACCACCCTCAGGAGGTACTTGGACCCTCTGGGAAATGAATGCGGCATCTGGATGGCCACGTTTTCTGAAGAAAACCCGAGAAGCCGGGCTTTTAAACAAAACAAAAGAGCCCCTTTGGTTGTAGGGTATACCCATTTGAAGGACCTTCTGCCAGCCAAGTGGGACGTAGGTTCAAAGGACAGCTGACTTTGATCTGCCAAAAAAGCAAGCGATTGGGTTTGCCTCAAAATGCCCGCCCCTAACATCAATCCCAAAACCGCAATTTGTTCTAAACAAACACAACCATTGTGTGCAGGGCAGCAGAAACAAATGCATGCTAGCAGCTTCCCATTCAAAAGCAGGGCCGGAAACAACTAGACTTCAAGACGTAACTCAGACTTGGGTTAGCAGCTTGCAATGTGTAGAGCTTCATCACTACAAATGACTCTCTTCAGTTGGCATATTTCCGCAACGCCACAACTCTGCAACCCAGTTGCAGCTCCGGCTATTTGACCAGTTCCTTTTCACTAAAAACCTCCTTCTTGTAGTCCTGGCCCGGTACCAAATTTCCTCCCTGGAAGTCTTACATGTTTAGCGGCATTGCCCCATAGTTGTCGAATAAGGACGTCTAAAAGAGGGACACCCCTTTCTGACCCCCCCCTTTCTGACCCCCGCTGATCTTGCTGCAAACAGCTGAGGCTTTGGCCCAGTGAGGACAAGGTCTGCACCACATCCTCTCCACGCTGCTGTTCTGCTGGCTGTTTTTTGCACCCAAGCTTGATAGTTGAGTGAAACCATCCGCAAGGTGATACAGCATATAATTGACGCGCTCTGGTTTAGCACCATTCAAAAAGAATCATACAGAAACTCAGTTGAGACATCAGCACTCCAGCAAATACATAACTAGGTCCTCCAGGAGAGCTTAGAATAAGGGAACCCTTTTTTCTGTCGTCTATTTTAGTAGGGGAGCCCTCCCAAAAAGAAACGGGAACAGGGCACCTAGCTGGGGGACCTTAAGGAACCCTGACGTGCTGCTGTTCTCCCTACTTTGAACAGGTGAGAGCGCCTCGCTTCAAGGGCCTTGCCGCATGATCTTCGAAATGAGGGCATGCAGCACACGACTCTAGAAAACGGCGTGGATGCACTGTTTGTGGATTTCACCTGGTCTTCCCTGCTGGACTTTTTCTGAGTACTCTTTTAGTGCAAAAAAAAACATCCTACAGGGGTGGATCCACAATAGCCACATCCAAACCCTTCTCTAGACAGAGTCTGTGTCCCCGACCACCACAGGGATCATGACTGATCACGGTTCTGGTCCCCTTTCAGTCAGTCATGACATGGCAATTTGTCCAATGTGCTTCCCTCTATTGGTCTCTTACAATTATATAGTTGTTTTTTTTGTGTGTGTAGTCTTATACAAACGTCTCGGATTTTCACACCCTGTTTGTTTTTTGTAGTTGTTTGGAAAAGTCTCGGATTCTCTCACCGACCCGTTCGTTCTGAGTCTTCTTTTTCCATTTCACCGTGTTTTTTTTTCCGTCCTGGGCGCAGGCCTCCAGCGTGTGCTCCGATTCCCTGGGCACCGGGGACTGGCCGTGGCCCCGGTGGTCCAGTTGCAGCACCCGCCACCCGGAGATGCGCTGCTGCAGCTTCCTGGCCTCGACCGACAAAAGCTCCAGGCGCTGGGGGTGGGGCGGTCCGTTTTTTTTTGGGGGGGGGGGGTGGGTTGGGGTACCCGTCTTCTTGGTGGTGTAAAAGGGAAACTCATGGTTTTTCTGCCGTTTTTGGGTGGTTTCAAATGGGTACCTGTTTTTTTGTGGTTCTTCAGGGGTGGGTCTGGGCTCGGGGCTCCGGTCCCCTTAAAGGAAACCACCAGTGGGATGGTTTGTAGGGGTCATTCGATTTCTCATTCCCTGCTGAGCACCAGCAAGTTTGTTTGGTGGTTTTCAGGGGAAACCAATGTTTGTGGGTGCCCGAGTCGATTTGGAGAAATAAGCCCCGGGTCTCCCGCCCCGAAACCCCTGACCTGAAAGCTGCCCCAAACCACCCCTTAGAGCAGAGATCGAATGCATAGCTTTCAGCTGTTGGGAAAAAACGCACGGCTGTGTTACGCTGCTTGAAGGGAAAAACAAAGTGTGGTGGATGTTCCCAAAGTCTTATGCAAGTAAGGGAACATTGAGGACACCGGACTAGTTGACCCTATGTTACCATGGTTATTTGGTTGAGAATAATTAGTTGTTTTACTTGCAATATCTAGGGCTTGTCAATGAGTCAACATTGCCCCCGTCTCACATGTGACAAGGCACGCCACTCTTTCGGGAAGCTCTATCACACACGCGGCTCTATCACTTAGCTCTAGCGAATTGGATGCGGGCGAATGGTGTTTGTTCCGCTGATGTCCGTCTGTTCTTTTTTGGCAAGTTTGGCTAAGCGTCAAACTGGCGGCACCCTTAAAAAAGCTTTCCTGGTGGTTTCCCTTTCAACCAACCCGCAAAGGGCAATTTCCGCGCCTTCCAAAAAAGTCCGCGTGCCAAGCGCATCCGAGGGTCGGGGGTGTTCCAATTGGCTTTGGAGCCCAATATCCCATGGAGCATCACCACCACCCGCTGCGCTTCCGCGTCGCTGGTCGCCGCGCCGGGCGCCCACTTGTGGGCGAGCACCGCGAATCCGCGAGAACGCGGCGGACGGCGCCGGACAGATCGGGGGATCAACGCCATGGAAGCCATGGCAGCCGCAGGCGTGGAAAGCACAAAACACGGGCAGGGCTGATGCGAAGTGTAACTTTGGTCTGAAAGCTGAGGTGTTCAAATCTGGTCTCGTTCCAGAGCTGAAACACCAAAAGCCCTCAGTTCATTGAAGCTAGTCCGCTCAGCCAGGCTCTTGACGAGATTTTTGCCGAGCGGAGTGATGCAACCGGAGGGTTCCTTGGGGTAAGAGGATGCTTTAGAAAGAAGAAGGGGTTCGAGTACCTCCTAAGAGACCTAGAGCCTCGACAACACGCTCACTTTGACATTGCCCCATTGGGTTTTGTTTCCAGATGCCAGTCTTATTTTCAACGATTGCGGGTCATCTCTTCAGGTGTCATCCCAGGGTGCAGTACAAAATCCTTAGCCTCAGCGGAGGCATCTGCATAAGAGAGCCGAATCCTCGTCGAAAAGGCCACCGCTGACTGTTGGCCACGCCTGCTTGTGCTTGAGGCGAGCCACTTAATGCAAGCAAGCATCGTGGGCATGAGAGCCAAAGGGCAGAAGAGCGAAAAGAGCTCAAAACCGAGCCAACAGTCGGAATCGGACAACCAGCCTTTCACCCGACGCAAAGGAGTTGGGCAAGAGGAAAAACGCCGGAAAGCAGATTCAGAACACGAAATCACACAAGGGTGCTGTAACTGCAAAGGGGTTAATTGCCAAGGCTTTTGTTGAAAACCGCCCCAAAATGGATACACCAAACACTCCCTTTCCAAAATTCCAGGCTAACAGGAGGGCTTAAGACAACTTCATAATAGGCCTCCTGTCCGCTTGGACTGTTGGAAAGTTGGCACCATGAATTGAAGACACCGCTTACCAATCGTGGACGACAAGAGATGACATTGATAACTGATAGCCAAGTTGAAAACTGAGTGACATCCGTCCTGAAAGCACACCTGGAAACTCCAGAGATTCGTGGTTTGTCCCTGTTTTTTCTTTGGGGAGCCCCCAAAAAAAGCATCGGTTTCCCTGTGTTTCCTGTGAAAGCCCACAAGGAATACCTCCAAAAAACCGTCGACACTCACTCACACCATCCCCGGGCTCCGGCGGGCGCCTGGCGCCAGGCGGCCCGAACCCGCCGGGCGCCGGCGCCCGCGCCCGCGCCAAAGGCGCCGCTCGCCAGGCCGAACGCGGAGAAGCGCCTGGTCGTAAGCCCCGGGTCTGGGGTCAAAAAATCCCGGTTAGCCCCCAGTGAACATGGGTGGTGCACCAAACCCCCAAAATGGGACCATTGGTTTTGAACCACCATGTTTCTGCACATTCAGTTTACCCCTAAAACCAACAAATCCTGGAGCAGAGGCGCCGGCTGGTAGGTTGGATGACGCTATTTCCTTGAAGCACCCTATGTACCCAAGAATGCTGAAACCAAAATGGGGAGTCAGCCCGTATCCCAGACGCATTGCCGGCCAGCGACTCGCCGCTCGAGTTTCAGCGCTGGCCGATCCGATGGAACCGAAAGAGCCCAGCAGCTTCGACTTTGGCCGCGTGGGGTCCGAATGTGGCGCCATCCGACATGGGCAACCAATTGATTGGCGTAAAGCTGTAGGGCCTGCGGTCTGGTTTCCTTTCCCAGAGGGTCCCTTGGTACCTAAGGAGGTACCAAAGAACCCCTTGTTACCCCCCAAAAGCCGCCCTCAGGAGGTACTTCGACCCGGGTTTGCTTAGAAACCAAACGCTCTGAAGCTCGGATCGCGACCCGAGCCGATGTTTTTTTCGCCAGGCGGAGGCTCGGAAGCCGGAGGCCAGGGTTCTGACCCTGGCACTGTTGGGTAGAGCTGTGGAAGGTGGTGGCCCTGTGACATGCATCGTGTTAGGTCGCTGGAAAAAACCAGTGGATCTGAACTAGAAACCTCCAAACAAAGGCTGGACAAAAACATGGCAAAGGGCATGCCTCATAAGTACCTCTCAAAAAGCCTTTTGTTTAAAGCAAAGAACAGAAACAAAATGCCGCACCCCTGGGAACACCTCGGCCCAACTTCCTGCTGCTTGGCCATCGCTTCACTCCGGTCTTTCTCGCAAGCCGAGTTGGACAGCCTCGCAGGCGCCATGGCGTGCAAAGGATATACAGGGCTGGGCCTAAAATAGGGGATCCCCCCAAATGTGGTTGGCGTCCTTCAGTTTCCCTTAAAAGCCGTCCAAAAGCGGTATCCTCGAAAAGGATACACTCGCTTCCAAAGTCCACCTGCTTTACAAGGAAACGGATAGAGTCTAAATCAGCTGGAATTGTTTGGTGACCTTTTTACTGGCCGCAGCTGGTGTCATTTTCATGGACCTTGTTATGGCCCTTTTGAGCCCTGTTGTAACAGCTACAGCAAATATATTTGCTACGTGAATGGTCGGGTGTTCCCACCTCGTTCTCCAACCCTGCACCCGTTTTTGGACTCATTGACCTCGTTTTTCAGCGAGGCGTCTGCTTAAGATCTCAACCACCAAAACGGTATGGCCCTACCTCCTTTTTTGGCGTGTTCATTGAAGTCTTCTGTAAAAAAAGCCTTGACATGTCAGTAATTCATCCTAATATCAAATGCATTTTGGTGGGGTCAAGTACCTCCACATTGCCAAACGCCCAAAAAGATCGGCGACAGAACCAAGAAACCCGCGGTGGGGTTCCCATGCGGTTCCTTTCATAATTGCCATCAACTGGTGATGCCATCGTCACAAAGGCTGTCATCGCCAATTCCCTCAAAGGAACATCCCCGGAGCCATGCAAGTCAAAAAACGCGAAGCCGCTCTGACCTCCAATCATCCGTTTGGTGTGATTGCTCCCTTGGCACTGCGGCCAAAGCGACGGCAAAAAAGCAAGGTACTTGAACTCCTGTAAGAAACAATGTTCCCGTTATGCCACACATCACCGGATTCAACAGGGATCAGCCTGGTCAATCAACTCGCAACCAGCAACCAGCAACCAGCCGTGTATCTTATTTTTGCAAAATTCAAGCAAGTTCATTCGGAAGGGTTGAATGCGTCCTTTCCTTGTCAAAGTGCGGGTCCGCTTCGTTTGAGTCAGTTCTCTATTGCACTGCGAAGATGCTGGCAAGCCTCCCACATGGCTTTCAGTTTTAGCAGCGGCTGGCAAAAACCAGCCTTCACGCTGGACTGCTTGAGGCCACCAGCAACCAGCTTTTTCTGCTCTGTACTGGTTGGCGTTGTGGTATCAATTTCGACTGGGGGCCCTTTGGTTGACATGTTCAGTCATGTGGCCTTCTGGAAAAATAGATGGCCCTTAAATGCAATAAACCCCATCTAAACCAGGGCCTTTTTTTTAGCAAACCAGCCAAAAAGGACGCCTATATGTTCAGTTTTGAGGGCGGCTCCAACTCTTAACAGCTCGCGCCGAACCGCCGGCCCCGTCGCCTTCGAGAACTCGTCCGAACTCCTCCGGAGTTGCCACTCCCTGACGTGGGACATCTCAGAGCTCGTCCTTGGATCCTTCGTCCAGGTAGGACCTCCATCCTGAGTTCGTTGATCCGAAAGTACACCTTGTATATAGTTGAATACTGCCAACAAATCCCACGAAAACTCTGAAATCCCGAAGTCTGTAATCAACCCTTCTAAAGCTTTAGCGTTAAGAGCGAAACTATTCAAAAGCCTTAGACATATGGTACTGTGGATGGCCGAAATCCTTCACCTGAGAATCCCTGGAATGATGATGGCCCTGCAAATACCAACAAACAATGGTTTTAACCATGGTTTCAACCATGGTCTCAAAGTGGTGCGAACGGATTTTGTCCATCCACAGTATGGCCGGAAACCGCCAAGCATCCCGCAAGGCGGGAGAGGCGTACCTTGGCCCCGCTGACCTCCTCTTGCACCGCTTGCAGCGTGTGCTTCTCGTCCTACGAGCCGAGGGAGCAAAAACGGGAGCCAGCTATTGAGGGTGTCTTTGTAGCGGGTACCGTTCTTTTTGTGAGTTAAGGCAAACCAACAGGAAAACCACCATTTTGGGGAGTCCACCACTTCGAGCCAAGCCCACATGGGCAAAATGAGGTGTGGTTAAACCACAAGCGTTCGGCGGTAGGGTGTGGTTCAACCCCAAGCGTTCGGCGGTAGGGCATCTTCCAAATGGTACCTCGCCCTTAAAACAGTGGGTTCTTCCGCGGCAAAACCGTGGGGGGTTCTTAAAATGGTGGACCTGTTTTTGGGTGGGTTCAAAGGGAACCATAGGGGCCCCTGTTTGAGAAACACCCTGGCTCCCCTTTGGAAACATCCAATTTCAACGACTTTCCAAATGTTTAGGCTCGCCACCACGATGGAACCCAACAGGTTCCTTTTGCAGGAACATCGTCCGTCTAACTCGGAGTCAGATTCCATGTGGATGGGAACTCTTGACTCTAATATATGGATCTCCATTTGGGCATGTAAAAACAGGAAAATCTTTAAATGGTGGTGGTCCCTGTGGTTTTGCCTTCAAGCCAACCTAAAACCGCTGACCTCAATTCACACAACGTACATATATATATATGTATATATATATATATATATATTATTGGCATAACAAATCAATCAAAGACCCCTTTGGTGGCCAGCCAGAGTAGCTTCAAGCCTGACACTCCCATAGGAGTCACACTCAGCGGGCTCCAACTTGTCTCCGTAGGCATCATTCATAGCTCATGACTTAGGTGGGGGTTCATGCCCAGTGGCTCGCTTTGAACTTTGGCATATCTTAACATAGGCGGTCAGCTTTCCTTGTGGATCTCCTTTGAAGAAACCCCAGAAGGGGTTCCCCTCAACAACTGGGTTGCCCTCAGATCCCCTGCTAAAAGTTTGACTTTTAGTGAGTTAAATGGACACCACCACTAAAACACGAAAAGGCTAAAAAGCTAAGGAACTGCATGGCTGGGAGCCACCAAGATCCTCAGGCCACACCCACCGGAGCAAAACAAAAAACAAAAAACTGATCCCGCCGAAGCGCCCGCCGCAACACCACCGCCACGCGCTGGTGGCTGCGCAGCTTGCCGCCCAGCAATCGCTCCTATCAAAATGCAACCTGGGACACGATTCAAAGGGGGTCCTGATCATAGGTGTCCTTTTAGGGGAAATAGGGCTGTGGCTCAAAAAGCCGGTACCAACCTATTTAATTTTGAGCCACACCCATAGATGGTCCTAGATGGTCCTCGGAACGTCGGCAAAATGGAGTTCGGTTCCCAACCTCCTGGAATCTCTCCAGTGAAACCCCCTCACAAGGCGACCAGGACCAACCATAGGTGTTCTTTTAGGGGAAACAATTAGATGGGTTTCCCTGGTAGATGATGTAAAACCACCAGGTAAACCAGGAATCGCACTCTATTTTTCGAGCAAAACGACCAAACAGGACACCTACGGTCCTGATGTTTGCCTGTGCCCGTGATGCCATTTCCGTTTTGTAGGAACCAAGGCAACAAGCCTTCCACCGGGTGTGGTTTAAACGTCACTAAGTCTTTGTTCCGAGAGCAATTGCCTTGTGGAGAGACGTATGTGTCCAAATCAGGGACCCGACAAATGTGATGTTCCTTTCGGTTCACCCTTAACAGGCAGGTTCTGCAACACTTCAACGAATATCTATACCTTCAGGTTTCCTTTCGAGTAAAGTCATGAGTACTGGCGACTTGGCCCTACCTTGACGACAACAACACGCCACTGAAGGTGACCATGTAGCGAACCGCACTCGTTTTGGCCTTGCTGTCCTCCTTCTTCAGTGAGCCGCCTGCATACCGCCGCACCGCCGCTTGCAGCGCCAGCTCCAGGTCGACCACGGCCTTGGAACCAGCTGAGGTCCTAGTGATGGTTGCGAAATCCATTTCGCACCACCGTTCAGAGACCAACGATGATTCCCCTCCAAATCCCAGAGGGTCCCTTGGTACCTCCTGAGGCTGGCTTTTGGGGTAAAAAGGGGTCTAAGTACCTGCTTAGAAGGTACTTGGACCCTCTGGGAATCCCAAGAAACAATGATTTCAACCATGGTTTCAAAGTGCTGCACGGTTTCGTCCATCCACAGTGTGAGTGTCGAAAACCCAGGCGGGCAGTAAGTACCCTTCCATGGATTCCCTTGCTATGGCTCCGAGTTGGCATTGGATAAGTAGCGAGTAGCCCGCCGCCAACCTCCAATGAACTACCCAGGAAACACTTGATTTCACAATTGAAACGTGCTAGCATCAGCGGTTCCGGGATCAGTTTGAGAATCACAATGTGGCGCCTAGGTCAATGTAAATGACACACATCCTCATGTTGGTTTGGTATCCCCGCTACTTACCTGCATAAAGGCCGTTGTGCCATTTACTTGTACCCTAGTAAACACATCATGTTAGGGGGCAAAGCTGAGCTAGAAGTGGGCACGTTTTAATTGCCCAGACTTCCAGTGGTGTGTTTTAGGGACCTTAGGGACCCAAATGCATATCCGGCCGCTGAGGCATGCTCGAAATCTGGAGTACGAAGAGAGTCTGCCAATTTCACACCACCTAAAAGCGAAACATGAGGGATTCTAGGGGTTGATTCTCCATTCTTTTCAACCATCGTTCTTTCCAAGAACCGGATCCGTTTTCCCTGGGTTTCCGGAGGTTTTCTGGAAAGGATCCCTGGGTTCAGAATGGAATTGGAAGGTACCCCTAGAGGGATCCATTGACCGCGCACTGGTTGCATCTGAGCGGCGTTCATCTCCTCATCGCGCTCCAGAAGCCCGCAGGACACATCCAGGCGCCAGGCCTGAATGCACCGAAGCCGGGCATGGCGGGAGAGCATGCCTCGCCCCTACCCCTAGACCCGCGTGGTGTATACATGAGATACTCAAATAATCAGTTTCTTACTTATATATATATATATGTTGTAGTCCATGTATGTACAGATATGTGTCAACATGCATTTATTTGTATATATAGACTGGGCCGTCCTCAAACCCCCAGCTAAAAGTTTACCTTCTAGTGGGCTAAATGGAAATTTCCGCTAAACACTAAAAAACAAAAAGCTAAGGAACCGGATGGCTGGGAGCCACCGTAGCGAGAAAGAGAGAGAGAGAGAGAGAAAGAGAAGGAAACAAAAAGAAAGAGTTGCGAGCTTAACTTCCATGATCTTCCATGGAGTTGCACGTCCTGTTCGCTCAGTTCAGAGTCCCAGTCTGGCCAAAAACTTGAGTTGCGCCCTCGTTGCCTCCCGCGCCTTCGGGGCTTTCTCCACCTCCACCCCGCACTGCGCCAGGCGTCTCTTCGCCTCCGCGTCCGCGTCGGAGGGCCGGCAGCGCCGGCAGCGCCAGAGGCGGAAGAAGGCGAGGGCTTGGTGCCAGGTGCCTGGGGCTCCCCTGTTTGGAACAACCGAGCTTGGCTGGGGCTTTCTTGTCCGTTCAGGCTTTTCTTGTTGAACTTGCAGGTTTGGAGTGCTGGTGGAAGTCATAGATATATGGTTGAGTACATCAATGAAAACAGCTAGATGCGAATTCGAAAAAACAAAACACGGGCTCCTGTCTGGGCCCGTCATGGCACCGCACCCCGGGACCCCCCTGAGATGCCTCTCCCTTTGCACGGGCCTGAAGACAAAAGGTAGACCATTACTAGATGTGCAGAAGGCGCAAGCTGAAGGGAAGTTCGGAGTTCGGGGGTGTATCTTTGTTGACCCCCTGACGTGAGTTTTCTCTGTTGCTGGAGAGGCATTTCCCACAAAAAGCATCCCTAACTGGCAGGCATTAGCTTATCTGCGCAAAGAATATTAAGACTCACAAGAATCATTCGTCGTCAGCCTAACCTAACCGGTGAGGTTGCAATCCAAATCCCTTTGCGAGGCAGCCATCGACACTCAAAATACCCATACAAATAGATTATTGCCCCAACATTATGGGGTGAATTCCTTTTCTTGCGGGTAGTTTGAGGGTTTAGGAACCCGGTGTTCAACAAACAACTCCTCATTTCGGAAGGCCTTTCTAGTTTAGCCAAACTCGTCCCAGCACCTGGGCACTTGTCCAGTGCGAAGAGGATCCCCGGAGCTCGGGCATCCTCGGCCTGAAGAGGGACCGATGGAACGACGTGCGCAAAGTGAACCTTCGGCTGGCTGGTTAACAAGGAAGACAAGCTTACAAACGCAGCTTGGCACTTGCCCACCAGCAACCGCGGCTTCTCATTTGCCCGGCTCATAGCTGCACAACCAGTGAAGGCCCGCCCAGGAATGGTTCGAGCGGTTTTTAGAAGGGCAGGGTCGTGACGTCTCTCTAGACCTTGAAACTGGGGACTGACAAGAGGTGGCTTCGCTTTGTTGACTACATCCACCACTCTGCCTGAGTTCTAAGGGTTTTTGTATTCCAGTTTTCACGCAGGATTTGAGTGGTCCGAAAGAAGCAGGTTTTGATGGGAACCCAGACTGGGAAAGGTTTGTCGGGTTGTCCTTTTGGTTTCGCTTGAAACAAACTTGGATTGACTTGGAAAGGGTACACTCAAAAACACGCACGCATAAATCACACACAGGTGGGTGTAATCCGAGATGGTGGGGTTGGGAGATTGGACTCAAAACGCCCAACCTGAGGCCACACAAAAACCATGCCTTGGGGTGTGTTACAGGTTGCCTGAAGATGGGGGAACCCCCCTAACATGGACGGTTCCCTTTTGGCTTCCCATTGAAGCAACACCACAAAGGGGGTTTCCTCAAAAGACATACCTCGGCTCTTGTGCGCCAAGTCCCTGCCCTCTAGCAAGCTTCGCTGTTGGAGGGCTTCCCTGAGGGATCCATGAAGAATTTGATGGAGAAACCCATTTGAGAGTGTTGGAATCAGGGTACTTTACCCATTTCACGCAATTTCAGCTTCAGGGAAATCAGACACATCTTTGGGCGCATCGATTTTCAGAGACATACCATGCCCAAAGAACAAGCCCGGCCTGCAACTGCAGCTTCACCTTGGTCAGGCAGGTCCTGGTGTGGAGCCAGGGCGTAACGAAGCCGTAGCGCAAGAGCATGTGGCTATTGCTGAAAGGTCCTCATTATCCGAGCGAGTCGTCTCTTCGACCAAAGCGGGGAAAACACAGCAGGTTCATGGGGGCTGGGGCTCTTCTTACACTGCTTTGGGACAAAAGGCCGCAATTGAGCCATGGCACTGAACCATTTTATGAAGACTTTTTGTAGCCATCAGGCTTCAGCGTTGCACCAGACTTTGGAGCCCGGGATTGTCCAGAGTTGCTGCGGGTCACAGGATTTGAGCAAGGGTTTGCCATTTTTGTTTTGGTTATATGATTAGTTGGCCTGCTTCAAGTAGACACTCAATGTAACTAATCATTGCCTTTTTTTGTCCTGTTAAAATCAGGAAATTTGGGAATGGCCTGAAGGTACCGCCCCTGTTGTGCTCAAAACCATGTTTCTCTGGGTGCCCTTTTCATGACATGGCCCCTGAATTCACGATGCGGAGTTTCAAGGAGGCACGCTCTTGAACTCATACGCTCCTGATATCTATTGTGGGAACAGCATTCGCAGGTCCGAACACCCTTTGAGGACGCGTTTGCGCATACGGGACTAAAATGAGTCGACCAGGTAGGGTCTCCATCTTTTGGGAACATCACCTTGGCGGGTTGAGCGTGGCTTTTTTCCTTGGGGTGATGCTTGAAGGGGACGTATGTGGGTTGCTCAAAATGGCGGACCAGCTTTTGGTTGGGGTTTCAGGAAAAGCCACTAGGAAACCACACATTCTTAGGCGGCCCTCTTCTTGGACACAAAACCAAGAAGGGAATCCTGTGGCAGCAGCCAAACCCCGCTGACTTGCGGAGAAAGTCTCCGTAGCTGACAGTGACCTCGTCGCCCGCGCCTTGAATGGGACTTGGACCAAGCAAGCAAACGAAGAAACAAACCAAGCAAACCAAAAAACCACATCTACCACACAAAGAAACAAAGAACCCAGCAACCCAACCAACCAATCACCAACAAACAAACAAAGAGACAAAACAGCAAAAACAAACAAGCAAAGTAACAAACACAACACATGGAATTGTTTCTTAAGAGAGTTGTTCGCAAGGGTCACTGGGTTGAACGAGGTAGGTCGACGATAAGAAGCAAGTAACTGAGCAAGCTGAGCTGATAGCAAACAAGAAAGCAAGCAAGGAAAAAGCAGGAAAAGCAATGAAACAAGCAAAACCAAGCAGAAGCAAGCAAAACAAGCAAGCAAGCAAAAGCAAGCTAAAGAAAGCAAAGGCAAGGAACGACAAACAAAGCAAAAGCAAGTAAAATCAAGCAACAGACATACAGCAAAAACACATAAAACAAATAAAGCAAAAACAAAAAAGCAAAAGCAAAAGAAAAAGCAAAAGCAAACACAACCAAAAGCAAGCAAATAAAGGCAGCGACCAAAGCACCAACAAGCCAAGCCAAGTGACGAAGGGACCAAGGCACCAAGGGACCAATTACCAACCTACCGCAGCAGCGAAGCCGACATAGCGGAAAAGCGGCATGATTTACCGTCCCACCAATAAACATGGAACCTGACAGGGGGTCCCTAAAAAATGTCTTCCAGGACCAGGTTCCGTGGAACGTCACACTTTCCGTAACATCAAGCTGAACATGTTAACCACTTAGAATTGACAACCTGAAGCCCATTCCCCAGCCAGCCACGTGTTCGGGAATTTCTTGCCTAAAGGCGCTCGCATCAGGCTCAAGGTTGCCCGCAGCCAACAAAACCACGTCTTAGATTCTGCTCCATCTTTTGTGATCCACTGACTTCTGATAGTTTCACACATTTGGCCATGGGTCAAAATCCCGTACCCCCAGTGAACATCCCAATCCCCACTAAAATAGGTTCAAAAATGGGTGGTGAATTCACCTACCCCAAAATGGGATCCCATTGGTTTGGACCCACAGCCATTTAGTTTTTTCGCTCTCCGGGTGAGGACTCCGTGCACCAAACCCTCTGCGCTTCACCGCCGAGCTGCCTAGAGGCTGCTGCGAGCGCAGCAGCACCTCGAAAGTGCCCGCTTTGGGCCTGTGCTGGAACTCCACCGCAGCCGCTTCGCCCGAGTCGTGCTGATCATAGGTGTCCTTTTAGAGGAAATGGCTGTGGGTCAAAAATAGGGCAACCCCAAAATGGGTTGCCCTGGTAAATGGAACCAAACTCTAAAACCTGCGGTTGTTTGGTGGCCTAATTTTGACCCACACCCAAATAGATGGGTTTCCCTGGTAGATGATTAAACCACCAGGTCAACCAGGAATCGCCCTCCCCTTTTTCTACCAAAACAACCTTTTTAAGGACACCGGGTCCTGATGGGTTTTTCACCCCCCCCCCCCCGCCGGCAATGGTGCGAGTGCGGAAAGGGGTGGCGCCCCTGGTGAAATGGTATGCCGAAGGTTTCCCAGAAGGTCCCTTGGTACCTTCCAAGGAGGTACTTAGACCCCTTTTTACCCCCAAAAGCCACCCTCAGGAGGTACTGTCCTCGAATCCCACCGAAAAATCTTCGCTCCTTCGGCCAGAGATGGTTGGCCAGGTCGATCACTGGAAAGAGCGCCGCCTGCGCCACTCCGTTTGAAACGTCCAGCGTGAAGGACCTCGAGGCCACGAAGACATAGGCTGCCTGGCTCGATGACTCGATCACCGCGCCCCCAAGTCAGCAAACCCAACTAGGTCCTCCAGTAGAGAGCTTAGAATAAGGGTACCCGATTTGTTTCTGTAGTCTATTTTAGTAGGGGAACCCTCCCCCAAGAAAGGGCAAAAGGGTACTACTGGGGGACCTAGCCAAAGGCATTTATCATCTACCAACAAACCATCAACCGTTGACAACATACTCTGGATGAACGAAATCCTGCACCGCTGTGACACCAAGAGAAACTACGGTGCTACTTACAGGATAATCGAATCACTCAGGGTTTCTGAACGGTGCGAAATGGATTTCGCAACCATCCACAGAACCATATTGCACCATCAACCAGTTGTAGAAAAAGACCAAAAGGGATTTCACTCTTGACCAACCCAACTTTTGCCAAGCCGACACCTGGAATTCCAGCAGCTGGTGCTTGAGGTGAGGCAGCACCAGCGACACAACCTCAAACCTCGGTTTGAGGGGTGTCTCTGGGGATGTCTCAAAGGATGGCCCCTGCAATCGTTGTGTTTGAGGCGCCGGCCGCATCTCTCCATTCAACTGACAGGGGTGGGAATTGGATCCAAAAATGGTCGGTGTCCTTTCATGTCCATTTAAATACCAAGCAAAAGGGGGCCCGCCATTTTGAGAAACATTCCTCTGGCGAAAAACATGTCTACATCATGGTAAGACTCTTTGAACTGCAGGTGAGATCCAGACTAGATAGCAAAGTCTTACCCTAACTCAGCTTGCTTAGATTAAAACTAACCACCGGTGCAACATGATCCTTCTACTTCAGGAATTTCACCTGTGGTCGCCAACAATTATCACACTGTTCTTACCCATAGGGGAACTAAAGGCACTTTCACTGATACATGGATATGCCTTTTGGCGAACGCACCTCAAGGCTTCCATATCCCATGAGACATTCCATGGGCCTATCTCCCACGGGGTGCCCTCGGAGAATCGGAAAACCGTTTCCCTTGCAATGAATGGGGGCTTCGGCTCCAAAGCGATGGACCCCAAACTCTGAAGACTGCTTCGTGGACCTCGAGGGGTCTTGTGAAGTGCAGGCCAAACGACATGAATCGCCACTGAAATATGTGAACCACTGATATGTTTGTCAACTCCACACTTCCACCAGGAAAAAAAAACGGCCAAGGGCCAACAAAGCAGCCACAAGTGGCTGGTGCTCGGAAAACTCCCAAATTGCCTCATTTGCTCGTTGATGTATGGTGTCATCCCCTCCGCTCATCCTAGCCAGAAACTGCAGGAAGCCATCTCACCTCAAAGCAAAAGTCGGCTAGTGACAGTGTGACTTCCAAACAGTGAGCAGGTGGAAAGAGCGTCCTGCGTTAAGCAGGTCCTTTGCTTCCACTTGCTTTTCTGCCTGGAAAGCATGTGAAGATATATGTCCAGTAGTGATGGATTCCTTTTAAACCCACAAAGCAAACAAACAAAAGAAGAGTTTATTGCACCAAATGGAAGCTTGGTACCCGCCAGCGGCCTCTGGGCGAACGCCGAGCCAAGACCAGTACCCGAGCCGCTCCTTGGCAATGGCTCGCCGCATCTTGGGCAGCTCCGAGGCGGCGGAGGTGCCTCACGGCGAAGGCGGAAGGGTTGCCACGGGCAAAATCCTGGAAGCTGGAAGGGAGGGCTGGGGGAGAGGGCTGGGGGGGAGGGAGGGAGGGGGGAGGGAGGGAGGGGGAGGGAGGGAGCCCAAATACTGATTAAGCCCTTAAGGCCTCATTTAGGGCTTATTTGGGCTCCCTCCCCCTTCCATTCTTCCCCCCCAACCCCATGATTCCACCCTGCCAATTTACTCAAGACCACTCACTTTCTGAGTGGAGTGGCCAAAAAAAGGTCTTTGTTTACCACTAAAATCGTCTGCCCAAAAAGAGTGCTGGTATCACTTCCTGAGTGGATTGGCAGAACAAGGTCAGAGCTTTTTGTGTGCCACTAAAATGGCCTTCCCAAAAAGCATGTCTAGGAACTCGGGAAGTGAGTGGTTCTTGACCGTTCCATTTGAGTCATACTCAACTCCATGTCCAGTTCATCGAATCTACCCGAGTTTTGTGCTGAGGTACGGATTCCGTAAAGCTTAAAAGGAATCACGAAACCCTGCGGCAGTTGCAGTGGATGTTTTAAAGCGTGCAAGAAGATAAGGGAAACACCACACAATGTATCCAAATTGCGTGATTTAATTTGCTCGGGCCTCGTAATTTGGCCCCTTTTTCCATCAATAGCAGTATGACTGCCCTGATGTAAGGATTCTTCGACAAGTCTCAGCTGGTTCCTACCCCAAACTACCCGCGACATCTTCGGGGAAGAATGAGAACATTTGCCATCTTTCTGTCAAGTACCTGGAGTCTCCATGACCCTTGAAAAATGGGGTCAGTACCCAAAATAAATGGGTCATCCCCATTTTTGAAGGTTCATGGAGACTCCAGGTACCCGGCGAGCATGGTCTTTTGTTGGCTTTTACGCGGCTATCTCCCAAGGTATCAAGGGTTGGACCCGGGAAGCTTCCTCGGGGACTGTGGACATCCTTGAGATGTACCCGAACCTAATTAAGAGAAACTGGCAAGCAGACTCAGCTTGTGGATGCGGGTGAGATGGGTAAGTCGAACGTCCATGGAGAAGCTGATGTGGTGGTGTCTGTTTCAGGCCGATCAGTGGAATTGACTGGCCCAAGTACCAACCAGTTGGATTTCTTTTCGGTCTCGACTTTTGAGACTTGCCCGCCAAAGAAGTTTAGTGTGCTGCAGCTGGCAAGCAGTTGTTGCCCGTCAACTGTGACAACCAACCCTTCTTGCAGGGCGTAACGCGCGCATGCGCGCATGCGCATGCGCATGCGCTCGCGAAAAGCTGGCCAGGGCCAGCAACCAAAGATCGCGATCCCAACGCCGAAAATGATGGAAACCCCCCCCCGGACCCAACGAACAATCAACCAACGGCCCGACGGCTCCGGCAAGCTGGGCTCTTTCGCGGCAAACTCGTGGATTTGTACCACAAAAAAAGGTGGACCCCGCCACACGCGGGGCCTTTCCAGTTTTTCCGTTTGGGGGAGGCCCTCAACACAAATCCGCCGGCCTCGCAGCTCCTCCTGATCTTCTGCCGCCCAGTACAGTGGAATGGCTTGGATCCTGGGTTCGAAGTCTAACAATTCGGGTCTCTTCAAAATTCTGGGGGAGACTTTCCCGTTCTTTCCAGGGATCCTTCTTTCCGGAAGACCATCAGAACCCCAGGGGAAACAGCTGGTTTTGAAAAGAACGATGGTTGAAAAGAATGGGGAATCAACCCCTAGAAAAACAGGAATCAGTCCCCAGAAGCACATTCTGGGCTGGTCAGTGGGGGAACAGTCATTTTCCGGAAGGACGGCCAGGCACTCGTGCAACAGGTCTTCGCCATTTGCTATCAATGGAGAAGAAACCAGAAGGAGAAACAATATGTTCGGCTTCACCCAACCAAACCAAGTATTCTGTTTCTGAACCATGTTGGCCATGGCTCAAAATCCCGTACCTCCAGTGAACATCCCAATCCCCACTAGGATGTCGACGAAAATGGATGGTGAATTCACCTAGTCCAAAATGGGATCCCATTGGTTTTGACCCACAGCCTGTTCAACTTTCAAGTGTAGAACACGTTCGAAAGACATCCCTGGTTTCAGGATTCCCTTAAAGCAAACCATAGGGGATGGTTTTCTTTGGGGTCATTCCATTTCTCATTCCCTGCTGAGAACCAGCAAGAAAATCGTGAAGTCATCACCGAGGATCGTCCGCTGCACGCTGCTCCGCAAGTCCGTCAGGTAGGCTGCGAAGCGTTTCACGGGCTGAGGAGCCACCAGCTGCTGCATCAGGAAGACCGCCAGCAGCAGCTTGTTGCTAGTCGCCGCCTGGATCAGACTCACTTGCACAGCGGCTTTCCCATCGGGAAAGCCAAAGCGCCCTTGTTGAAGGACAACCCAATACATACAAATGCATATATCAATATATACAGACATATGTATACATACATATATATATATATATAGTTAGTATAAACACATACATATATATATATATACATATTTTTACAATATACACATATTTGTCAACCCCAAGGCATGTATGACATACACCGACACCTTTGGGCACCTGGGAAACCCCAGGGTCCGTCCGTTGGCAACATCCGCCTTGGCCGTCAGGTTGGTTCTCAGGTGCTCGGCGAGGGCCTGCAAGTCCTGCGACTCTGGCAGGAGGTTGTCCTCGAAGAGGACACACCTTCGGGGTTCAACTCAAGCGACAATCCAACAAACCAGCACACAGGCAAAAACAAACAAACAAACAAACAAACAAACAAAGAAAGAAACCAAAAAAAAGAACGCAAGAAAGAAAGAACAAACGAACGAACGAAAGAAAGAAAGAAAGAAAGAAATAATTTTAAAGGAAAGAAAGAAACAAAGAAACTAAGAAACAAATTCAAAGAAACAAACAAACAAACAAACAAACAAACAAGCCAACAAGCAGACAAGCCAAACAATGCAACAATCAATAAACAAAAAATCAACTTGGTCCGTCATGAGGGATTTAAAGAAAGAGGTAAGAAAGGACTCATGCACCTGGACCCTCAAAATACCCTTAAAATGGGAATCCGCCCTAGTATCCAAGCATTAAGGGTAGTTTGAGTGCCCAAATATGCCCTATCTCCGTACTTTGGTCGGTAAATAACTGGGGCAAAACACGTGAGTACACTGAATGGAGTGGCAACCTGAAACCGGAACCTCACAGGTGTTGCCCCCCTGAAAAAAGGAGAGGGCACACACGCGCACACACACACACACACACACGTGTTGCTTTGCTTAAACGTCCGTCAAAAAGGGCGTCTTTTGGGAAACATCCATTCATGCTCTAGCCAGGAAAGCCCCAAATTGAATCGGTTCCTTCTCTCAGTTGCCCAAACGACCTGGAAATAAGAGGGTAACCTTTTGGCGCCTTGACCAAAAATGACCCAAATCAGGCAACCAAAAGGATCCAAAGGGTCAAAAGGTTGGCTTTCAAGTGAGCTTTTGGTGCTCCTGTTCCTTTTTTGATGTTCCTCAGCGCCCCAAAACGTCGGCTCCAACTCACTCCACCCTCTCACCGCCAGGTTCTGGGCCCTCGCCTCGAGGGCACCGACAGCAGCACCCGCCCAGCGATTCCTTTCTCCGCCAGGAGGCCCAGGCCGCAATCGCTGCAGGTCCTAAGCTCGAAGGGTGCATGTACTACGCCGTGGGATTGCACCCACTGGGAAATGACCCCATTTAGAAAAATATGTCCGGGACAAAATCACGACTGTCTCAAGCGGCCCAAGCGGTCCCCAAGACCTAACACGGAAGCCAGAACCTTTTTGGGAAGACTTGGTTCGATTTACAGTGGCCTTCTGGGAGCCTCCATTACACTGAAAACAATGATGTTCTGATTCGAATTCATAGTGTCTACCCTAAAAGAAATGCGTTTTGAACGTCGCTGTACAGGAAGATGGCTCCTAAAACTGTCTACCCTAAAAGAAATGCTTTTTGAACGTCGCTTTACAGGAAGGCAAAAGGAAATACCCTTGGCTCCTAAAACCTGCCGCTGTTCGAGGCTGCCGCCACCTGGTTGATTCTTTGCCTGGAACACATCCAAACAACACCTGCAAAGGTTTGACTTTAATTTGGGCTCACTGTGCCTTTCTGGCCGGCTTTCAAGGGAAACCAAAAAGACAATCACCCATTGTTTTGGTTGCCTCCATTGAAGACAAACCCAAATTTCCAGGTACCTTCTCACGAAGTATCACAGAAATTGGTCCTGAAAGACTTCAAGTCTTCCACAACCATGCAATTCGAAAACCAAAACGAACCCTCTCTGTAAAAAAAGAGAAACAACAAACTATTGTTCCTCAAGCACGCAAAACAAAAACCGGCCAGCCCATTTGTGCGGCACGGGAATCCATCCGTTTCAAGTGAGGCACTGTGGTCGCCCCACAGCCACGCCCACCCTGCCGCCGCATTCCTGGCACGGACCAGAGGCAATTGTTCTGGAGGGTTCTTTGGTACCTTCGAAGGAGGCGTCCATTCGCTTTTCCGCCTGGAACAAATGAGCAAATATGTCCAGTAGTGATAGATTCCCTTTAACACCAACAGGGGAAAATGAAAAATATGCTTAGGCAAATGGAAGGAGGTACCAAATGACCCCCGTACTTTGAGCCCTAAACTATTCTCAAAAGGTACCAAGGACCGTCTGGAATGCAAATCAATGCAACTGACATTCTTGGACGGTCTAACCCTCGGTTTCGGCCGAGGGGGGGGAATTGATTGCCCCCCAAATTAGTGCGAGGTTCTGGGCAAACCACTCTTTGCTTCCGAACTGAAATACGACCCTCCCCGGCAAAAAAAAGAGAGTCTCTCGTTTTTAGCGGGTCCGGAATCAGCGACACCTTGTGAGTTCGCTTTGTCCAGATCCGACCAATGGAACCTGACGGGTTCCATGGCAACATGGGACCTGGCAGGTTGGATGTTGTAACTTCGGAGACTGGTTGAAAAGATCTCGCTGCCCTGGAGATCTTGAAAAAGGAGGGCTTTAGAAGCAGCCTTTTCATGGCAGGTCATGCAAGGCCGCCTGGGTGCTTAAAACGGACACCTGGCCCCCAAGCCAGTAGAGAGCTTAGAATAAGGGTACCCGATGATTTTTCTGTAGTCTATTTTAGTAGGGGAACCCTCCCCCAAAAAAGGAGTAAAAGGGCACTACTGGGGGACCTAGCCAACCATTCCCACAGCCCACGATCTTCCTGGACTTGGCCAACTTCGTGAATTTGGGGAACCTCGCATATTTTCTGGGGTGGCTGTGGGCTTGAAATCTGCAAGCAGGCGTAGGCTACGGTCTGCTCCACTGCCAAAAACAAATAGCAACACGAGGGACACCCATGCAACCAGGAAGGACTGGGAGATGCCTCTCTTCCAGCGACGCCCTGAAACCAATAAACGGGGGTGCTGCCAGGACTTGGCTAAACCGTGCTGTCAAGCCACTGTTCTCCGCCTGCGTTAAGTTTCCCTGTAGAGGCAACCAGGGCCTAGAAGTGTTTAAACGCATGGGAGTGTATCAAAATAGGGCGCCCCTCACAAGAAACAAACAAAAAGTTACCAAGAAAAGGAAACGCTTCCTTTTGGATTCATATTCCAAACCCCCACCCCAAAAAAACACGAACAAAAAAAAAAAGAAGCAGTGTGAGCGTCCTTTTGGTGTCGCATCCCATAAAAAGCGTAGCCTCAAAACCAGCCACGCCCCTCCGCCCCTCCGCCCCCGCCCCCATTCAGCCGCAGGACTCTCAGCCACTTCAAAGTCGACGCGTAGTCAGCATCTGCCAAGCCCAGAGTGAGCCACAGACGCCAGCTCCGCATCGGTGTCCTTGGACGGGGCCACTTCCCCTCTCTCCCACGTTGCCATGGGCACCTCAGAAATGGCCCCTATAAGAGGAAATTGATCTTCCAGATACCTTTGACAGGTGCTATGTTCGTGGGAGGGAGGGTAAAGTGGTAGCACTTTTTGAGACATTAATATTTTGGTGGTGGTGGTTTCCCTTTTGGGTTTCCCTTTTGTATGTTTGTCTTGTCGTTGTTCTTGTTGTCTTGTCATAGATAAAACGTGCCCTTGGTGCAGGTTTCCAATCAACCAACCATTTAGAGGGTAGCTTTGAGAATGTCACTTTAATGAACCCAGGAATGTGTTCCGCTACCTGCTTAACGAGGAATTGTAATCCGAAGTCACAGCCCGTGCAACATAGAAATCAAACAAATCTGTTTAAGCCCAAGCGTCTGGCCCAAAAAAGTGTTGACTGTTTCTCCAAGGCTATTTCGGATTCACAATACCGCTACTGGTCAAGTGCCGCGCGAATGTGGCAGCTTCGGCCAAGTTGGCAATCAGAGAGAAAGTCGCTTTGGACCAGGCAGGGGAACGCCTGTTCTTGCGACTGATCGGCGAGAACTCAGCAGCAATCACATTCTCAAAGCATGGCTAATGGACGAACATCAGCATGACAAAAACACCCCGTCCGTGCTTTGCTCTTTGAACGTCATCAACTTGTGCACAGCTCACTGCAAATAACCTACTGCGCCAGGAAATGGCTTGTTGCAAAACAGCCTAAACCTCCCTTTGGGTTCTTTTGAGAAACCCCAAAAAGTGTAATTGCACACGCTTGGAGTCACGAACAAGCAATGGTTCTCTTAAGAGGCAACGGAACGTATAAACATCACTAGATTCGTGCCAAAGAGCAGTCATCAGGGCTCCACCCAGGTTCCATCACGCGAAAAACGCGGCGCCTCAGCACAAATGAGCTGAATGGCTGGCGGAGAACCAAAGCCAACCGTGTAAACCCACATGATGACATGAGTCATAATACTAAAACGGCCACCCAGAACCATGTAAAGAGTTAAGAAGGCGGCTGCATCCATTTGTGGTTGGGATTGTCCCGTACTAACCTTCATCCACCCGCGCTTTTGAGCAAGTGGCTCACATCAGCCAGGGGCATGTTTTTCTTTGTTCCCCCAAATGACAGTGAAGTTGGGTGGCCTTACCAGGCTTGGCAGATGTGGGAACTCCCACATCCAGCCATAAGAAATGTTGGATGTCTCTCTGTAAACAAGTTCCTGGAGTCTCCCTGACCCTTGAAAAATGGTCGGCCACTACCAAGGGACAAGAACACGAGTCATTTCAGCGGAGCCTGGCCAGAAAGGGGTTTCACCCCTAAAGCCTTAGATCTGCAGTGGAGATCACTCCTCTTCACGAGGGGGAGTGATCTTGAAGCCTGGCTCAAGGGGGAACGGTTCCCCCTCGAACAGCTTGACAACAGTGGCACCGGCATGTGTTGGATGTGACAGCGGCTTTGACTACCAAGCATGTCAATTGCATCACGTGCAAAGAGTTTAGCCATGGTCTCATTGCTCATGATGGTTCATTCGTTCCCCCCCAAATATCGCAGCCGCCCTCCTAAACATGAACACCCGCATCGAAGTTTGCAAGGCTGGGTTGCTTCCTCCCTCGGTTTCTGATTTCTCCCCTGCTGTTGGACACTGAACAAAATACACTTGTGTTCGCTCGGATGCTCTCAAAGTGGGAAACCCAGAACAAAGCAACCAACCCCAACCACCTTGTGCAGTCCGGTGGACAGAAAACGAATGCAGCCCCACTTGAGTCACAATCACACCCGGTATCAAATGGCCTACCCAAAACCATGTAAACTAAAACAACGGGGTCGGGGGGGGGGGGGCACCGATGTATGGTCGTGACTATCCCTTGCTAACCTTCGATTCATGTACCCGGCTTTTGGTTCTGGCTCGCTTGAGGCCCGGTCGACGTGCGCCGATGCTTTTCACCCTGCGCTGGCCGTAGATGATCCGTAGATCCCCGAGCGCAAGAGCCAGGCAGCAACCTCAGGCAACACCAGAGGTGGCTCGCTAAACAAACTCAACCATAGGTCTCCTTTTTGGGAAAATAGATGGCCCTGGTAGATTGAACCACAAGGTAAACCAGGGCCCTCTATTTTTCAACAAAATCAACCAAAAGGACACCTATGAACAAACAACTTTGGTTGCTTTCTGCTCCCCTGCTAAACGTGAATAACGTTTAGTGGTTTAATGGAAAACCCATTTTGGTTGGCAAGAAGTTAAAGTCCTAACATCCAAGCAAAATGCACCAAAGCAAACACAACACTTCAAGGCAAACCTAAACACCGTACATCAAAGCCAGCCAAAAGCATACTGGCCAAGGCGGGCAACGCGAAGCGTGTACAATAAGGACGTGTCTGCAATGTAAGGGCTTCATAGAATTACACCCATCCTTCTCTGCCAGATCCTGACTTTTTGGTCTTGACGTACACCGCAACTCACTGTGGACGATCGAGGCCATGTTTGAAGATCTTATCTTAGAATAAAGTGAGGCTGCTTGGGTGGGGTCTTCGGAGGGCGGCAGCCTGGGTTTGCCGGATTTTGCCCGCCAGCCCAAAGCGGTGGATGTAGCGATGTGTTGGACTTTTCTCGTGGTTCGATCCAACCGCATGGAAGGGTATTCGGAAGATGCTTTTCTCTTCAAGGGCCGAAAGCACCGTTTCCCTGTCTACCACATTTGTGGGAGGGTAAAATACAAAGTTCCACTATCCTCCAAACCACTGAACCTCAAACAACCGGAATGGGATATGCAGCCACTATCGACTATACAGCCACTATACCTCGCTCTCTTTCGGGGAAAGTGGATTGGGGCTACCGGAATCCATTCTAAAAGGTGATGTCTGTGCCACGGCACAAGTCAGGTGGCAGTACCTAAATTTTGTCTTGGTCAGTCAGGGTCTCGTGACCGAAATGGAATACACTCAAATGGACAATGTCCTGTCCGTACCTCAGCTTTTGCCCTCAACAATACGTTTGGCTATGGCTCAGGGTTTGTCCTATGGGGGAGCTCAAACAAATGTGTTCCTTTCGGCTTCCTTTTGACACCCAACAGGGGGTTCCATATTGAGTAAGCCAGCTGCCACAGCCAACCAAGCGAGACCCGAGCTTCCTCTTACTGTCTCGAATATGGCTTACCCTATGACCGGAGGGGGGGGGGTTACCCTACAAAACCACAACCCCCATATACAATGTGTGAACTCCCACAATCAACCCGCCTTGGGGTGCAGGAGCGTCTCCAAGGCAGCGCCTGCTGGAGCAAAAGCCAAACAGCGAGACAGGAAGCGAGCAAAGAAGCAGGAAGGCGCGTGAGGAGTGGTGTGGAGCGGGACACCGCACTCGACCACTGTACCATATTGACACGTTGAATCCAACAAAGGGTCAACGCGGGTTCCATTCTGAGCTCACCGAATAGGCACATTTTTTTGGGAGTGAAGCGGCCATCGGCGGAATAGGGGCGGTGTAAAGCTGAAATGGACTGCCCTTTACCCTCCCCTTTGGGAGGTGCTTAACAAGATCATCATGCAAAGGGAAACATACATGACGGGATATCAAAAGCAAACCCCGCATCTTTGTTGATTGTCGTTTCAGGACTCAGAAAAGCATGTGTTGCCAATTGCATGGAGGGAGCCGAAAGAATTGAGGCTGTGCATGATGATGCGCTTCTTCGTTTAAGCCTGGAAGGAAATCGACAGGCTCCGGCTTCCGGTGGTTTCTTACATAACTTCTCGCTGTGTTTCGGCTCTGGGGGGATGTTTGTGAGTGGCTAGCATGGGATGCTCCAGTGGATGTCCAACTACCTGGAGTCCGGTCATGACCCTTTAAACATTTTTGGTCATGGCCCATGTGTTTCGGGTAATGACCAACCATTTTTTCAAGGGTCGTGGAGACTCCAGGTACATCCAAACCCGTGTTTCCCTTCAACACCCAGGGGGCCCGCAGGAAGGCGTCCACAGAATCGACGTGCCATTGCTAGGGCTTCTCTGCGAGAGCCGCCCGCCCAGAAATGGCAAGACACAACATCTGTGAGACTTGCGCCATGCCTTGCCAAAGGAAAAGCCGCGAGCTTTTTCAGGAAAAAAGGGGAACCAAGACCCGTGTCTCCCTCCGATGGATGTCCATCAGCAGAAAGTCTGTCAGAATCGCATGGGTTTCGGACAGAAAGGAAAGCTCAAATGGCATTCACCCACAACCATTTACTTTCGCGGAGGTTTGTGCGATCAGACCTTTTGCACTTCGCCGAAGGGCATGATAGTGACTGCCACCTTCCTGTCAAATCTCAAGTCTAGTTTTCAAGGGGATGGACCCAAAGCATCACTTTTTGGCCTTATGGAACTTCACTCCCGAGCTTGGGCGGGCCCTTCATGAGAGCTTCGCTTCAACAAACATGGCCCGCATTCTCAACCCACGTGAGCTTGTTACTTTTGAAAGCCATACCCTTTTCAGGTTGTGAAAAACGGGAAACAAAGAGGAAGCCGTCCCCTCAGTTCCTGAGTGGATTGACCAAAACCAAAACTCGAAGTCCAGGAACTCAGGGCGTGAGGTTAGTTTTCCGGGGTCCCCAAAAAAAGAGGAACAACCCGCACCAAAAAGCCGCGAGTCGACCGAGTCCACGGAGCGAGGCGCCGTCGTTCTCCTTGAGCGCGAGGCGTACCGCGGTGGAGGAGATGTCCGGCAACTCGGGGCCCATCAGGAAATATCCTGCGAGGCGTTCTGTCAAACATCTCTTCGCTAGGAACTCATTTTGAATTGGCAACCCGCACCAGAGGATTCAGAGGGGAGTGTTACCACATATATATATATATATATATATCCCAGAGGGTCCAAGTACCTCCTGAAAATGGCTTTTGGGGGGTAAAAAGGGCTCTAAGTACCTCCTTAGAAGGTACTTGGACCCTCTGAGTATATGTATTTACTTATTTACTTATATTTAGACTTAGATTTACTGTAGGGAACCTATCCCCAAATCACTGCCCAGAGGGCCCCTTGGGACCTCAGATTGTAATTCGGAATTGACGAAGGAAGAATCGGTAATTGACGCATCCCCGAACGAACCAAACCCAAAGCCGTAAATTATGGGGTACTCTTCGGACCCTCTGGGCTAGGAACCTCGTTTTGCATTGGTAACCGCGTGCTCAAAGCCACCCAAAAGGAACATGTATAGGGACCCCAGTGGATCTGCATGGGAAAGAGCAGGTTTCAAAAGATGGTTTCCACCATCCCCAAAACCAGCGTTCTACCTGAGACACAAGTTTGAGTTTGGACACATCCTTGTAAGGTGACGTATCTTGTTTGACCTTGGGCGGGGATGTGGGAACGAAGGACCCCATCCAGTCCCCAGGTCCAGAAGCTCAATAGTCGGTGACAAAGGTCAGTCCCAAATGTGTGTGTGTGTGTGTGTGTCACAGGCTCTGTCACAGCTGTCTGTCACACCAGTCTGTCACAAGATCTGTCTGTCACATCTGTCTGTCAGGCTGGGCTCTTCGCGGAGGCCGGAGGTCAAACCTGTCGGGTGGGGAATTGCTTTACTTCGAAGAACCCCAGTCTACGAAATGTGCCTGGCTAAGCTAGACAGCACCAAACAGTATTTGACTACAGATGATGTGTCCTTGCAAAAGCTGGCCTGGTCCCTCTAAGAAACGGAGTGTGCCGGATGAAGGAAAGCCCTAGCAAACAGGCAGCGTGATTTCGGCAAAGGGAAGGCCGCTATTGAATAGGGGTCAACGCTGCGTTCCATTTTGGCTTGACTGAGTTTCTTTGCGCATCAGACCTTGAGTTGGAGGTACATGGCTTGATAGCAGCTGAAAACTATCTGAACGCGGCTCAACGACGGTTGCCCAAACCAAAAAAATGCCTAGGCATTTTGCCTTCCGTGTCCTGAGCCTTGTGGCTCAGCATAGCTTCAGCGGCTGCACACTTTTTTGCTTGCGTGGAGATGCACATGTGAGGCGCAATTACATGCTCCTGGCGCTTGGCCCTCGTCAAACAAACAGAAACGGCCACGTCTTGAGGAGGGGTTGTAACCACGACAAGGAAACATGCTTGCCAACCACGACGACAATAACATAACCAACCACGACAAGAAACACAACCCGGCGAGTACACACGAGCAATCACGACAAGCAAATGGAGGAAAATGGGAGAGGATGGAGGAGAAATGGAGAAGGACTTTGGGCGCCCGACGAAAGTCTGCAGCCAGCGGACCAACAAGCAATCCGAACGTATCCTGTTGTCAAATTTGCTGGGTCTGGCGCCGCTATCCTGGCCCGGCCACTGGCGCTGTCGCAGCCCACAGGAGGTCCGGCCGGCAGGAGATTCAGGCTTCGGACTGTCACAGCCGTTGTCGCCGGGCCGTCGGGCCGTCGGCTGTCGCGAGTCACATCTGCCTGTGACGGGCTCTCGCGCCAGCTCTTTGTCGTCACAGCTGGCTGTCACATCTGACAGTCTCTGTCGCCGCTGTCTGTCACTCGGATGTTGCAGCGGTCGGACTTCACTTACAGTCTTTTCCAACCCCAAACCTGTCCGGTGGGGGAACAAACAGGCCCAAGCCCAGCAGAAATAAAGCAAGAAAAGAACCCTGTCCTTGGTCCAGGACCTTCTCGCGCTGGGCGTGTTCCAGCACCTTCGCTGTGAAGCCCGGCCGGCCCATAGTGATCATCCGCCGCTCCGGCCCGCAGCTACGCCACTTCCTGTGGTCAGGCCGCACGTAAGTGTTGCATCTTATATGAGTGTCTCATTTTTTGAGGGGAACCCCCCCAGCTGGTGGCTTTCCTTTTGATGTTGCTTCAAAACCAAACAACTGGCTACTCCCAAAAAAACACACCAATGCACAATTTGGAGTGGTTCTATTTATGTCTAATCTGACCCACGAGAAATGGGCAGCTTCCTTTTGGTGTCGCTTTAGAGCCAGTCTCAAAACGGTACCCTCACAAGGGAAACCACAACTCGGGGGGGTTCTTAAAGGCTTCTTGAATTGGGATAATCTGACCAAAGGCAAACACCATCTTTCGGAGAGCACTACTTTGGCTATGTCGAAGGTTTCCGGTCTTAGCACCCCTCGGAGTTTCAAACTTTCGCATCTCCAACTCCAAGCAAAGGTCCCACACTTGCCACACTTAAGGCGGTTGGCTTTGGAAGTTGAGAAAACACCCAATTTCCTCTCCTCCGCTTCCCTTTGAATTTCCTTTGGGTTCAACATGGACGCGGGGAATCCAACCGAAAGTAGAGGACACCCGTCTGATGGCTTGGCTTGTCGCCCTGCAGGTGCCCTCCCATGGCTCGGTTGCACCCGCTTTTCTTGAGCCATGTACCGGGATTTAGGGGACTAAGTACCCGGTCTCCCACGACCCTTTGAACATGACAGTGAAGATTACCCTGTCTGAACCCAAGCGGGCTCTTTGAAAGCAGCTCCTCCAAGACATGGGTAGATGATCCCTGCACATTGTGTTTTCTTTTTTTGTGTAGGATGCTCCCGACAAATTGTCTCCCTTCTCATTTTCCTCCAGATGAACGTCATACCAGAGTCTCACTTTGAGGAACTCTTAAAACCTGGTCTTACTTTGAGGAAACAGTGGCAGGTTGAGGGGTTGGAATCCAATGATTTAGTGATCCCTTCTGATTGCCCTCAACTCCAGTGTCGTTTCCCAAACTTAGCCATGTTGACA